CGGAATCACAACAATCATCAGATTAAAGCAATCACAGATTAAGTACTGGGAACCTCTCAACCTGCTCACATGTAATTTACTAAACCATCTTCCAGGAAAAGACAACTTCGCATTACAAGTACTGAAACTGACCAAAGATATGGATGTAACTTTTTATAGCTGGAAATGGAATGATATCTTTAATTGGAGTACTGGAAATAGTCCAATTAGAGATTACCTGACTACAAAAGAATATAGTAAAGCCATTCCTTTACTCAAACACAATAAGTTAATGTATATGGATTAGCTCATCAACTATGAAACTAGAGAAGTATTGAATTGGTGAATGCTTCAACTCCTACAAAAGACAAGTAAGTAACCTATTCTAGAATGGTACTTGTCAATAACAAGAGAAATGTGAAAAAATAAGCCAGAACAACTCATAAGAACTTGGAAAGAAGATTGGTTAAAGTGGAGTCCAGAATATTCCATACTCAATCTTAACCTCGATAAAAGACAAAAACTTTGGGTAGTCATCAAAAGCAATAATTAGCAACAACAACTTGTCTGGGGAAAGTTGATTCTAGGTGACAATAAAAAATGTATTAAAATAGATCATTTCAAATGTGACAGCTTCAAAGAAGACTTAGGATCAAATCTGATGTGATGCCAGGACTGTCCAGAAGGGATAAAGACTAAAAATTGATGCATAATAGAATCAAATATAAAGCAAACATATATGGTTCCTTATCTTAATACCAGGAAATCCACAAGGAAAGCTCAACTTTTAAAAATCCCTTATTCCAAGATAGCACTAGAGGAATTAATAAGTAGAACAATTTATACAGACCTGGTGACTATATAAAGAGATAGAAGGCAACTGAAAAAAGTAGAGATAGATAATTGGAAGGAGAAGCTTATTAAAGAGAACATTAAAGATGATATATATCAAACCCATCTGATTGAGATACTCAGGCGTAACAAAAGGGATAATAGCAATAACACAATAATCTTTTATTCTGATAGATCTCTTATTGATCACGGAAGTGAAAATATGAAGATGGGCACAGCATGGATACAAATTGGAGAAGCAGGAAGAGAAAGCAAATTCCAAACAGGGTAGCTAATTGGCCTTCATCCATAAGAGCAGAACTAGTAGCGATAGTTACCATACTACTAGTAGTTCCAGTTAATAGCAAGGTCAAGATCCACATTGACAGCCAAGTCTGCATACCAAATGGAAAGCTATAGAAAAGGAGGATCCCAAAAAAACCCACAAAAGATGGCTAAAGAAACATAATTGGTCCTTGTGGTTATGAATGTTGAGCCTAGTAAAGAAAAAAAGATTAGATCTAAACCTTATCAAGGTTAAAGCACACTTCAATATTCAATATAATGAGGAAGCAGATATTTTAGCCAAAGAAGCATTAAATTTCCTAATAATAGAATAGAAAGATTTGGACTTACCTAAAATTATTACTGAAATCAAATGGCAAGATATAGTGTTGGATGCTTCAATAAGACAGTTTGTTAAAAAAACCAATGTCACAATAATGACGCACCAATGGACAGCCCAAAATAGAATAGACAAAAATGGGGTCATCAAATCCAAGACCAGCATAAGCACACATGGGACCTTGTTTAGGAACAAATAAATAATGGACACACATGGAATATCTTCTTCAAAGGATCACGAAAAAAAAGCTTTCTTGTCAAGATAACCAATGACGAGCTACTCACGTTAACAAAGCTAGTCACAAGAAGACTAGACTTATATAAGCAAGTAAAATGTTTTGCATATGGACAACAAAAGGAGACAATAGAATACTTGCTAAAATATTCAGCATATAAAACTTAATGGCATGAAATTTGACAAAAGGGTACAGAGAATATGATGCAAGGTTTTAACAAACTTCTGGTAGATAGGAAAAAGGAGTCAGAAGAAAAAGAAATAAGTCTGGTAGTTGATGACAGAATGGAAAGAGGAGAAATGGATAAGAAGATAGCTCAACTGGTGAAAAGGATCTCAAACACTGGTCGGGATATTCTTAGCTTTTGCATGGGACTAATAGAAAAGGACCTAATGGATGAGATAGCAGACTCAATATGCTATGGAAAAAGAATCGGTAAAGAAGCAAGAAAGTGGATAATGAAGATGCAGAAGAAAACACGCAACCATTTCAGAAAGAAAATTTAGAACATCAGGTGTGAAAAGGTGATAGAGTGGGAAAGAGGATTAGAAATTAACAGATGTAACAAAATCAAAAGATCGACACACTTACAAAGGCAAAGAAACAGGACTAAGGTACCGAAAAATCAGTTATATCAAGTACCACCAAAGAAAGAAGAAGTAGAAAATACAATACTCAAACAGGTCTTGCGAGATAGGATAAAGTATGGAATAAAATGGTTGGGTTTTAATCTCTATAAGAACTTGGAAAAGTAATCTGCAGGCAATGATGTTAGAAGTTGAAAGAGTGTTCACACGAATTCCTAACAGAGCGATAAATTACTCCTGAAGTTGTACTTAGAAGGATAAAATAATCTAGACGAGTGAATTAGTTAAAGAATTAGCTTTAGCGTCTCATATTATATGTACAGCTTACAAATATTTAATAAAGCATATGTAACTAGCCTGACAGAGAGCAAAAAAAAAAAATAAAATAAAATAAATTATATATTAATAAGAATAAAGTCTATATAAGATACCAAACAACAGAAATATCCATTTGCATTTTTATAGATATTATAAATTTTTAAAAATATAAACAAAAACTAGTAGAAATATTTATATACAATCTTAAAAACTATAAAGTTTTTATTAATATTTCTTTTTTATCCTACACAATAAATAACTTGATATTTCATAAATGTAATTAGCAATGATAGATTTCATTAAAGAGATTGTTAGAAAAAACTTCAAACTTGCAATTAATAACTATATTAATTTACATATATAGTAATTATAATTATAAAATAAATATTTTACATTTTAGTAATATCTGTAAGCAATAAACTTGATAGCTAAAGGATAATCAAGTTATTAAGAGAGTAAAATATTATTCCTTAAGTTGTATCTAAAGAAGTTAAACTTTTAAGATGAGTAAGCTGTTATATAAAAGTCTTTTAAATTATATAATTATTTTAAATATACAATAAAGATAAGTTATATTAGCCTAATAATGGATTATTTTAAAAATACATAAATCAATATAGAATTAACACTATAAATACACAATAGAATATAAAACTATTAATAATATTATCAGAAAAAACAAATACTTTAAATGTTATATTCAAGTATAACCAATATCAGATTTTATATTGATAGAATTATTAATCAAAGATCAATATACAGTATAAATCTTGTCAATTATTATATAGACTGGTTATTTAAAAAAGTTACAAATCCATTTATAATTTTTTTTTTTTTTAAATTTCAATACTAATTAACTATTCTTGACATATTAGGTTCTATAATAAATAATATTAAGCTAATCAGTAAGAAAAATAAATCAATTTTTAGATAGTTTCATTTGTATATTAGAAAGATATGAAAATTGTAAATATATAAACACTTGTACACAATGAATCTTTCTCACAAATAAAACAAAAATAAGCCAGTTCCCCCCAAAAAATTTTAATAGCATATGTAACTAACCTAACAATGGATTATTATTTATAAAATTGGATTATAAATTTTTGTAATAGCGTGAATACCTTTATTTAATATTATCAATTGCACAAAGTGACTTACTTATTTCTATCAAATCATAAATAAAGTTACGAATACAAATGCATTAATACCGAGGAATACTATACAATGTATCTTACCACAAAACCTCCTGAACCATATACAAAAAGATACTTTGCCCCATATTTGAAGAATGGCTTTTACTGTATGTAATACATTGAATAATTGATTCAATGTATGCGTTTTATTCCGAAGGAGAGAATGATATAAACCATGGAATTTCTAGAAACGAAGCAAAATAAATTGTGCCGTGTTTCTTAGGTCTTCTGATTTTTGATCTTCCTCAATCTTGTTCCTTGAAATCTTCAATCTTTTCTCGACTTTTTGTTCTTCCATCTCTTTCATACCTAGGCGAACGATTAGGGGAATTTGTATCTTTTATCTTTTTAAATGTATTTAATGCATACGGTAACTAGCGAATCGCAAATTATTACCGTCAAATAGCCCTTGTGCCGCTTCAAGTGAAATTTTCGGGTCACGAGCGATCGTCACAGTGGAATTCGCATCGTTCGAGGTTAAATGCTCCACGCGTTTAAATCACGTGATAAATTGTACATGTTTATTTAAACCAGCAAAAAAAACATAAACAGACCTTTCATTCGTCTCGCTCTCTTTTCCCTCACCACCCGACGTAACGATTTTCGCCAGCAAAAGCATTTGAAAATCAATGTGCTACTACTTACAGTAAAGTATTTAAAGTATTTAGTAATTTTTCTCAACATCAAGACGAATTAATTCATTTTTAAAATGAAATTGATAAATCTTAGTCTCTGGAAAAGCACAAGACGCAAGTAGGCATTATTTATATTAAACATATTTAAGCGTTCAAGTGAGTTTGTTGGAAATGTTATTCGAAGAGAGTTACGTTCAGAATTCAGACCTATTTTTTTTCATCGCGTGAACAAAGATTTTGTCAAACTGGCGACTCCACATTCTCCCTCACCTTCGACTTCCATTCCGAAGCCACCAATAACTCCTGTTCGAAAACGTACACCACGCACACGTTTAACCCCATCAACACGTTCGCGTTTGGTTACCCCTACACCACGTACAAACAACTCAACCAAGTCCTCCGCTGATTCACCAATTTCCCCACTTCATATTGGCTCTTTACTTCAACTGCTTAAGTCGTGCAAGAGGAGAAGTCCCAAGTCTATCCTCAAAAAGGAAGTTTTAAAATTAGACGTTATCGGCAACGACTGGGTTGGTACCACCCCTCCGAAAAGAAAAAGAACAAAATCACTGGTAGGTTTAGAAGTTACCTGTGCTACCAACTTCCAGACAGCTAAACTAACAGTTATTGGTTATTTGTCGGGGATGTGGGCTCCTTCAATTATTTTATAGTGCGATCGATTTATCCCAGCTCGCGAAATGGGAGAACCATCTCATCAGTTCAACGTCGCTCACCGTGAACACGGAAAGGAGTCATACATGGGCAGCGCAGAATTGGAGTATCAGGAAAAGTTAGCGGAGGCATGCGGCATTGCACTTAACAAGCGTATTCTGTCATTCAAGGTCGAACCTCCATCAAGCCAAAAAGAAGATCTACGCAAAATCTATAAGACTCCATTGAAGACGACATCAATCAACATGAGAAGACGTATTATGACCGTCCCAGAACGTATTCTCGATGCGCCCGGAATGATTGACGATTACTATTTGAATTTACTAGATTGGAGCATTAAGAACATGGTGGCAATCGGACTTTATCAAAATGTTTACGTGTGGAACGCCGATACCGGTGATGTCAAGTCATTCGCGCAGACCAGCAATAACGATTATATTTCAAGTTTGTCCTGGTCTATGGACGGAGAGTATTTGGCGGTAGGGACGAGCGACGGTGACACTCAAATTTGGGATGCGCTTAGAGAACAAAAGATTCGTTCGATGTTAGGACACGTTTCCCGGGTTGGTGTGGTCACATGGAACAAACACATCGTTTCTTCAGGATGCAAGGATGGCAGTATTTGGAATCATGATACTAGGATCGCGCAGCACCGAGTGTCCGAATTACTTGACCACTCTAGCGAGGTTTGCGGTTTAAAGTGGCGTCACGACGGAGAACAACTGGCAAGCGGTGGCAACGATAATCGAGTGAACATATGGGATGCCAGATCCAGCGTTCCGCAATTCACAAAAACAAATCACACTGCTGCGGTCAAGGTAATCAAACGAATATTATGCATATATGAATGTTGTAATTCACTAAACTTTTTATCCTACTTCAATCCGTGCTTTAAAGGCGATTGCATGGTGTCCATGGCAAAACAATCTTCTAGCTACGGGTGGAGGCTCGTATGATTGTCGCATTCATTTCTGGAACACGAACACAGCTGCCCGCTGTAAAACCATCGACACGGGATCTCAAGTGACCTCAATCATCTGGTCAAAGGAATACAAAGAACTTTTATCCTCTCACGGCTTCCCCGATCATCATCTTTCAATGTGGTCTTATAACTCTCTCAAAAAAATCGTTGACATCCAGGCTCACGAAACTCGCGTTTTGCATTCGGCGATTAGTCCCGACGGTCAAGTGGTGGCAACGGCTGCAAGTGATGAAAATTTGAAATTTTGGAGAGTATTTCAGAGTCGTGACAAAAGCGAACGATCGAAAAATGCCGAAAAAGGAAACGGAAAAAGAATCGATTCCGGGTTACTCATTCGATAAAAGTTAAATATGATCACTAGATGATTATAGGATCACACACCCCTTCATATTATCTAAAATACACGCGTATCTTCTCACGAATAAACATCGTTCCTATTTTTCTACAGTTGGTGAGATTGACGTACGAAATCTTTATTTCGTCCGGATTTAAAATATGATGCGTGCTAAATGTAGATGCGTATTATAAATAATCTATTAAGAAGATCGAGATTTCTTGCTTTCAGATGGATTTAAACTTTCCAAAATATAATGCTAATCTCAGGCAATTCCTTACAATATTATCAATCAACGTATTTCTAATATGGTGCGAATTATCTTACATTTTATAGTCCACTGTTCAAAAACTATGCGTGGTTTCTAATGTACTTGATAGCTAGAAAATTTTAAACTACTTTTGTAATTCGGAACGTACAAAAATACTTTATTGATAAAATTATTTTCATAATCGCTTGTAGATTTTTTTAATTATACATTCTAATAAAATGTAAACGTTTCACTTTTTACTAAGCTTTAATTACTTTTATTTGATAATATGCAGTATACGCACGATAAAGTTGGTTTTATTTTTATTTAATTATTTTTTTAAAAAAAAGAAAAAAAAAAAGACGATTAACCCGGGTGAATTAAAAGCGAACATGGGAGTTTGGTGGGAATATGGGAATTGGAAGACATGGGAAGTTCGACGGGAATATCGGAAATTTGACGAATTAGGCGGCGAATATGGGGAATTTTTAAAGGGATCGTTTTTCTTATGAAAACAAAGAAACTCAATTCAATAAGCATATTTAGAAGTCCGGCCACTTAACCGTCTTCAGGCGTCGTAGATAGTCCACGAGCCGAGCTACGCTACCGAAAGGCAACGGGTCGAGCATGATAGACGAAGAACACAGGATATACCCGGGGCAAGTTTTTAAACCAATTCCTCCTCCAGAACCAGTATAGAAAAAACTCAACTATCAATCGCCTTCATCGCCTGCTTAAGAAGATTTTCTTGGGAAGAAATTCTTATAAATCTAATCAAGGGTGATATTAAACGATGCCCTCTACCTTTTTATCCACTTACCTTTCGCTCACCTACCTTTTGTCTGCTATCAAATATATTGGTGTATCACGGAATACAAGGTAGCATTGTGGATGTGTATTTAGAAACGCGTCAGGAAACGCGTTCAAGAATAAAAGATAAGCATGATATGATATATTAGATAAGGAGTACTGTACTAGGGCGGCCGCATATATGCGTTGGCCAATCAAAAATATGCGTGCGGTAATTTATTATATATGCCGAAATATACCCT